TCGTTCCGGCAAGGGACCACAGGGTTTGCACGTTAACTTCACCCCTATTTTGTAGCTGCGCGCAAGCTCCGCCCCTACACAGCAGTCGACTCAGTGTGCTACAAGTATATACGTCGTACCAAGTAAGTACTGTGGCGTGTTTCGAACCTACAGTGTATCTTCGCAAACGAAAGCTTGCTGCGATACTGCTGGTGTTGTGCCCATGCCAATACAGACCCCACTGACTATTATTGCTTCTAAATGACTCCGAAAATTTTACGTGTTCTGTTCAATATTTGTTTTTTCGGTTTCGGTGGGCAAATATTATCGGTTCTTTGGCAAGGTTCCCACCACAAAATGCTAATGGTCGGAAAAGTTATTTTCGTTCCTGCTGTCCACACCTCGCAAACCAGGAACTGGATCACCGAGACAGTACCAGGCGCTACAACCACGCGGGCTGCAGCCAGAGGAGGTTCGGTACGTGGACTGCGTACAGTCGCGGTCATGGAGGTTTGGGGGCCGTGCTTGGGCGGAGTGATATTGAAGCCGGAGAATCCTACGCCGCAATGAACAACGCGGGTAAGGGACTACCGGGTTCCATGCCTAGTATGCCAGGCTTCGCCTTGGGTGGTGAGCGGAGCAGTGCTGGTGGTGCCTCGGGTTCGCAAGAGAAGGGGGACGAAGGTGGGGGTGATTCGGGGCAGCGTGATGAATCCGCCGCACCACCAAGCGGCGGATCTTCAGTGAGGTCACGTGGTGATCTACCTGGGAGCGGAAGCGGGAGTCGGAGTGGTGCACATGCGAAGGCTGGGGGAGACAGCTCAGCCCAGGCCGGCGATAACACTGGCGAAGGAAGCGGGAAAGGGAAAGGGAAAGGAAAGCAACGCCGTGCTTCGACTGTGTCGGGCTCAGTTGCCACGCCGACCACACTTCCGACTGGCAAGCGCCAGCGGCAGGGGAAGGCCAAGAGGACAAGGGCGTCAGCCGAGGATGAGGACGTCGACGAAGAGGACCCGGTGTATCGTCGGGTATGGGATGCATACTGCTATTGATCTGAATGGTTGGAGTGCTTGGTGTAATGCTCTGCTCTCAGTGTCATAGGTTGGGCGCCTTCTTCCTTGTGTATTCGAGCGCGTGAGCCACGGAATAGATGAGATTTGAAAATTTAGTATTTTCTCTACCCATCACGCCGTACAGGTGCTTGCGCTCGAAGGCGTACTCTCGACATCCATCCGCCAGGTCCTTGTGCGGCACCGTCTGGAATCCCCGCGTCACCTTCTTCGCCCGATGCCGAGGTTTCTGGTGTTCCAGGGGCGGGTCAGACTCATCGGCGCAGAAGTTGACGTACCCGTTCGTCTGATAAGAGGGCGGGAAGGGGCGGGATATCAAATAAAGGCGTGAAGGGGCGGTACACGAGAGGGATTTCTACAAATCAAATTGGCACAACAACAGAGTGAGCTCGCCTGGCGCAAGAGTGCCGAAACATCTTGAAGATAGTTGGTGGTGCACACCGTCGAAGTTGCTTGGAAAATACAGCCCCTGGTAACATGTAGCCATGAAGGCATACATGGCTCGTACGAGTTCCGTGTAGTGCGCACGGTGTGATTCAGAACATGCTTGGTGATGATTGTTTTTGGCGTCAAGCATGACGCTAGAACTACTTTCTCGCTATGTCACTGCCTTTTTTTCCACTAATGCATGTGTTCATTTGTCGACTCTGATACATGCTGGATCTTAGCTCCATCGCGTTGTACTACTGCCCCCCCCTCCCCCCCGGCCGTCCAAGCAAGCCTGCACGTCTGAACATGCAACGATAAACACATGACCCAAACAAACAATTTGAAGCCTGCACGTCTGAACACGCAACGATAAACACATGACCCTAAGAAACAATTTGAAGTGAAACATGCGCCGTGGACAACGGTCCACCAGCTACAGTCTGCGCTTCATGCTATTTTGCGCGTGATGGCCATTATACTGGTGCTCCTGCCGCTGTTGGCATGAATACCATGCCACGACTTGGAACACCATTCTCTTGGTTGTCTGGAGGAGGAGGCATGCCCTAACTTCCAAAATATTGCTGAAAGACACAAAACGCGACCTAAGTTTTCCTCGACTCCCTCAGAATGACCTCTTGCGCCTCCGTCGTGAAAGTCTTCTCGACGAACACGAAGGTGAAACCCCCACCCTTCCCGTTGACGAAAGAACGCAAAACAGCTAGCCCTTGTTTGTCGACCTTCGGTAGACTCGCCTTCAGCAGGT